AGGCAAGGCTGGCAGAACTTTTGGGTCACAGTCATATGTTCAAAGCGCTTGACGTGGCGGACTGGCTTGAATGATATACGAGCAGCAGAACTTGTTGATGCTGCACGCACTGCAACAAAATGAACTTTTAAATGCCGCCGATTCGCGCCTCATAAAGACTTGCCTCTGACTTGCCAACTGGCCCACATGCCAGCCGCATTCAACTAAATTATTAATTTTGTGTGTGTTTTTTGTTTTTCTAGAATTGATTTAACTTGAAGTGCAATTTGACGGCTTGCGTCATGCTTGAATTTCATGTGAGCCAAGCCGAAATTCGGGGCATGCCACATGAGCTGAGCTGAGCTGCCAGATAAAGCCGCAATCACTAATTATGCATAACAAATGAATGTGATTCACTTTTACCCATAGCAATGGCTTCAGGCTTACATAATCGCCCGTGTGTGGGTGGTCATCGATGTGGGCGTGGTGAGCCAATTAATTGAGTTATTTATTGGATTTGGCTAATTGAGGGGGCTTGCCCTGATGTCCCGCAGCTCCAATTCGTTAACTACTTATATTAATGCAATCTCTGATCAACTCTGCAGTTAATATGATTTTAATAAATAAATACTTGAGTTTATAATACAAAATATTTGCTTTGCAAAGCACTTTAAACCACTTTCAAGTTGGCCGCATTTCAGACTCAATTTCATTATTTAGTTACATCAATCATAACTTTTTTATGAGAAAACTCTCTAATTTATTTATTTATAAGTTGCCTCCGCAGATCCTGCAGATGCATTATATATAAATTGTATTTTTTTTTTTAATTTTGTATGTAGAATTTGATGAACAGTTATTATGCCCTTGTTTTACCTTTTTTTTTTTGTTTGTTGCCAAACTTTGAAGCTAGCCCATTAATAATTTCAGTTGGTATAAAGGTCATTGCTGTAAATGATTCATGAAAAGAAGAAGCAGAGCAATATGTGTTGCTGTTGCCCACATCGCACAAAAAACAGTTAAAGTCGCCGCCGTTGATATGTGGGTGACACGGCGACCTCCCCTGTCAGCAGCTGCACAAAATGAATAAAAAATAATTTGAAAACAAATTTAAAAACAAATAAGCAAACACTGCCTGAAAAATGATTTTTAAGCTGATTATATACACAAGCAATTGATTTGTGGAGATTTCGGAGCAGGCGAACAGGTAGCCAACACCTCGATGGCACCAGCAGCATCCGTTGCATGAATTATGAATCGAATATTGAAGAATTTTCGCAACAATCGGCAGGCAGCCTTATATAAATACACTATAAGCGTATAGCTTAGCCGTTTGACTTCCAGCCTCGTCTGGCATCAAGACAAACGAATTTGCATTAATGATATGCGAATGCAGACAGACGTCATTGAGGGCCTCCGCAGCTTCCGAGCAAAGTGTTAGACGAGTGGCTGAAGTCTTAAGCCTCCTTCGATTGGTTTCGTTTGCTTGGCATTTAATGCGATTCGAACTTATTGATAATGATATATATGATATAATCTCTTGGTTATGTGTATATATATATATACATATAAATGATTGACCTTATCGCATATCAAATTTGATTACCCATTTGGCTCGTTGGCATCGATTTGCTTATGCAGAGGGTCTTAAATCTAGCATTAAACGGCATTGTCTGCGCTTGAGTATTATTAATGGGCTACATAAATTATAAATAAACAATTTAAAGTGTGTTAGTTACACTTTACGATCAATTGCCGTTGCATCTGGCAGGGCGTTACCGCAAAATTTTCTGTTAGCCTTAACCCTAGCGCGCCCAGGTTTTGTCGACGCGCCCAAGCACTGTCGAATGAAAGAAACCAATTTCAGTTGAAGACAATAGAAAACAGTAAAATAATATAATAAGCAAAGATAGAAATAAATAAATTACCTAATATATTCATCATGAAAAATTAAATAGCAAATTGTAAAAACTAATAAATTATTTGGCTTAGTTTGAAGGCCATTGTCAAATTGTTTATGGCTCTCGGCTAGCCTCGAGAGCGTTGTCTCCATCGAGAGAGACATATATTTAAGAATTATTGCTTAATGAATTCTACTATATTAGCAGATAGTAGATTGGTCCAACATGGAACTGGTTTCTTTGTAAGGAAGTTTTTATTTGAGCATTGCCGGAACTGTAGATAAGTTATATGCTGTGTGCGTGTGTATAAATAAATAAATATGTAAATTCAGCTGTATTCACAGAGATTACCGCGATAAGATATTCAATTCGGGTTTTTGGGTAAGCACTGGCCAAGTCCACAGACCGATGGACGGACAGTAGTCGCAGTCGCACGCGCTCTCTGGTATTTAGCTAATAGAAATTAAAAGCAATTCACTTTGGATTTATTTGGCTGTCGTACGAACTAAGCTAATTGACCATTGCTGTCAGTAAAGCCATTAAAATCAACTGGTTTCTGTCCCCCTCATCTTCTTGTTCTTCTGCTTAATCTGTGAAGTATTGGCGCTGACATTTCTCAGTGAGTACGCAAATGGCCAAAAGAGACACAAATATATATATCTACGTGCTTTGTGTGCAGTGTAAAGCAATTTGCTGCGACAAATGCGCACAAAATTGACTTGGAAGGTGCAGCTAAATAAAAGTAAACCGCAAATCCAGTTCGACAAACAGATTGTCATCAACTTCTGACGCCTGACAGACTCGAAAAAATAAACTTGACTGAAAACAAGAATTTTAATACTCATACCAATATACGGCTATACATACATACATACATACATACGCCTTTGACATTTTACCTGCCTATATGACATTATTTGGTTGCTTTAATTTTGCAAACTAAACGTATCGAACCGGATCTAAAAGGTGTCTGATTTGCATACAACCATACAAATACCAACAACAACAGCAACAGAAACAATAGCAAGGAGAAGAAGAAGAAGAGTGAATTCCTCAGACGGACTGCCTTGAGTGAGGCATCACAGCTATTTATTGACTCATCTGTGGTCTATGTAAATTAAGTCAATAGCCAAAATAATAAAAGAAGACAAATCTCTATGTTAAAAGCAAAAGTTGTGGGCGTGCCGCGAATGAGTCTGTAATGACAATAAGGCGTCAACATTTATCTTAACAAAGCCATTTGACAGCTGTTCATTTGGGTTTTCTTGCCATTTTAGTGATACGCTTATGCATATGCATATAGAGAGAGATAATGTATATATCTAACATTTACTCATATAACATCTGCTCTTTTTCTTTATTATTCACAGGTCGTCGCTTGCATACTGTTGCAATGCGTTTACTCTGCCAAATTCGATGCAGAGAATCGGCGATTGATCGTCGAAATCAATGACAAAAAGACAACGAACCAACAATATTATTCGTCAAACTTTGACACAAGTAAGTAATCACGTTTTACAATTTGTATCACATATCCACGCTTACTCACATCGAGAAACCCGATTCGATCTGAAACTATATACCAAAATTGTATTTCCCACACATCGAAATTGTAATATATTAGTTTGAACAATTTGTATCATCGTATCGTATCGATCTATATATGTATATAGTTACATATATATATATTTCCATATATCCTACATCATAACGACTAAATCTATTTGCCAAATATCATTCCATGCAGTTTCTTAGTTTTTTGTGTACATCGTTTCGCCCTGTAACTCGTTAATCGTAGCTCAATTTGTATTTGTAATTTGTTTGTTTGATAAGTAGTTGACCGCAAAATTTATTACTATTACTATTACTATTACTATTATTATTGAGTAACTTTAAGTAATCGTTTTGTTGACCCGTCTCCCACCCACCGCCAACCTCAGCAGTTTGACCAAAACTTACACATTAATGCCTCGAAATAAAAAAGAAAACAAACCAAACGATACAACAAAAACAACAAACAATCAACAGCAACAAAGAAAACCGCTATCTATGTAGTTGTTTTTCTTTTCCTTCTCTTAATATATATTTTTTACCCTTGTAGCTCAGCTTTACTAAACTCACCGTAGAAATCGTAGTCAAATTGTAAATATGCTCAAAATCAACAATAAACTCGCTCTATCTTCAATCTATCCTCTCTCTATCATTCTCTCTCTCTCTCTCTTTCTCATACACGAATACACATACATTCACTTTCTCCCTCACTCTCTCCTTCTTTAATATATATACATATCTATATATATATATTTTTTTATGTACTTATTTTGATCTTAGTGGAAAAAAGTTATACATAAAATGCAAAAAAGGCTTCGCATAAACATACTCTTTATCTCTCTCCTTTCCCCTCCCTCTCCCTCTCCCTTTCACTCACCCACTCTCTCTCCCTCTCCCTCACCCTATTATCAAAAAGTCAAACCAACCCCAGTCAACAATTAAATCTCGCTAATTACAATGACAACAAACAACAAAGCAAAACAACACACAAAACAAACACCACAAAAAACATTTTCTCTCCTCTCGCTCTCTCTTTCTATCTGTCTAAATATATTCCTTCAACTTCATATGTACGTTATGTAGGCATGTTCTCAACAGTTTCAGTTGCAGTTGCAGTTGCAGCGCCCAAAAGCAGGGTATAAATTGATGTTAGGCAGTTTTGAAGTAGGTGCGTAAACTTCTACAACCAACCTCACAGCACAATTTTCAGCAAATCTCAAATTCTCTCTGTCACACCAAAACGTTATACTCTAAAACCATTATCTTTCAACCAAAAAAATCCACTCCAAAAATACTGAAAATCCCCCCAAAACAAACCTATCGAACAAATCCAACGCAACGAAATATCATAACGAAATGTCAAAGGCGCCTATCGATATGGCTATGATGTTGGAAAGACTGGAAACTTCCATCATGAGACGCGTGGCCCGGACGGTGTTACTTATGGCTGCTACGGGCTGATCGATCCCTATCATCTGCTGCGCGCCACACACTACGTGGCCGATGTGCATGGCTACCGCACGGTGGAGCCGAATAAACCAGTGGAGACCTTCCCGCCCGGTCTATACAATGAGACGAAAGGTGGTCCGTCTGAGCCTGGCATTCTGCTCCAGTGGGACAAACTTTACTTCCCTGCTGGCTGTGGCAAATTCAAGAACGGCGCCGTTCCTAACGTACCCTATTTCATCGTGGATGAAGTAAGCTGATGCAATGGAATCCCATGCGCACAGTGACTTATGTGCGTTCGTCTTTCTAGAACAAGCACAAAACCAGTAGCTCAACCGGCTCCTCGATTATCATTCCACCACTGAAGGGTGAGGCACAGAAGAGTTATTCAATTTCCACGCAGGGACCGAAGGGTCTGTTCAATACGGGCGAAGGACACACTTACGAGGGACCTGGCGATCAAGCTCCGTCCTCCCATTCGGTGGCAGCCCTCAGACCAGGAAACGCAGGCGGCAGTGAGCTTTTGACTGCGATCACACAGAGTTGGGGCGGATTCAAATATTTGTGTTTCAGATGATGGAAGGTACACACCTGATAATAGGCCCTACGATCATATTGTGGGCCCCCAAGGCGGCCAGGGTGGCTTTGGCCCTAATGGAGGACCGTTTGGTCCGAACGGAGGCTTCGGTCCAAACGGCGGACCAAACGGTCCTAATGGAGGTTTTGGCCCCAATGGAGGATTTGGACCAAACGGACCTAAAGGTCCTAACGGCCCCAACGGCCCAGCAGGTCCTGCAGGTCCAAAAGGTCCCAACGGGCCACCTGGCCCCAAGGGACCGCCTGGACCACCCGGACCACCGGGACCTTTCGGCGTGGGACCGGGAGCCCCAGGAAAACCGGTATATAGGGAAGGCGATCGCACTAACGAAGGGGCTGGCAACAACATTGGCGGTGGAGATGCCTACGGCCAAGGTGGCGGTTCCGGCGTCGGTGACGGTGACAGATACCGCACTGGCGATGGGGGCGGTCGCGGCGATGGTGGTAAATACCGTCCCGGCACTGGCTCCCGACCCGGTGACGGTGATGCTCATCTGGTCGGCAGTGGTTCCGGTCCAGGTCGTCCTGGCATTTATCGTCCCGGCCAAGGTAGCGGTGTTGGTGATGGTGATGCTACCGGACCCGGACCTCTGGGCGGTGGCGATAGAATCCGTACTGGTGATGGTGGCAATATCTTTGATGGTAATGACCACCATCCAGGTGGCGGTGGTGCCTATCGCCCAGGCGGTGACCTGAATATCGGGGCCGGCTCTGGCGGCCGTCCGGGCGGGGGTACTGGTGGCTACAACGGCAACCAACCCGACAACAGTGGCGCCTATACTGGACACACCAATACCGGTTTTCCTGGGGCAATCAAATACACATCAGGTTAGATCAATTGAGATTTGAAACTGCACCGCCGCACAGATAGAAACATAAAAATCTGAACAGGTCGCAGAGCGGCTACGGGGGGAGATAACACATAAGTAATTGATTAAGCATTTCAGTTAAGTTTAAACGATATTGCCCCATATGCAAAGCGGCCTGTTCATATTTTTTCTCTGCTTTGCTGGCCTAGATCTAAGTTCCGTTTAAGCAATATATTATATAAATTGATATATGATATATGCCTATTTTATGCTAATGTACAATTAATTATGTTCTATTTTAAGCAGTCTTGTTTATTTTCAGCCAAGAAACTTGAAACCAATATAATCTTAAAAACACCATTCTGTTACTGTCTCGAAATACACAATTCTCAAACTATATTATTCAGGCACAACTTTATACACACCCACACGCACACATATACACACAGCAGGGCAACTTTAGGGCACCCCATAGTTATTTTTACTGTTATTAGAGCACTTTTGCTAAGAGCGCACAATCAAGCAATAAATATCAATATCTCTCTCTCTCTCTTTCTATCTCTATACCTCTCTATATCTCTCTACCTTTCTTTCTATATCTGTCTCTCCCCCTCTCTTTACTGTCACTATCTCCTTCATCAGCTTTTGCTATCAAAGATTTATACTGTTTTTGATCGAAAACCCATTCAATTATTGTTTATATATTTTTCAATTTATCACCGAATTTCTGTTTTGTTTCTCAGCTCAGCAGTTGGCTGAGAAATCACGCACCATTTCACCAATATTTGACACACTTACTTAACCACAATTTCTCATTCATGCTTTCATGCACAAGAATGAAGCACACAGACAGACACGCACACACACGCACACACTTACTCAGAAAGCACACGCCCATCCATACACGCCCACCTTTTTGGAAGCCTTGGCACATTTGTACAAATATTTATTTACACACACTCTCACGCCCCCATACATGATGCTTGAGCAACGTTACTAACTGGTAATGGTTTAAAAGAAATTTTTTATTTGATTTTGGTTATGGAATTTGTTTTTGTTTATATTTTCTTAAACTTAGTTTAACCGTTAGTCAATCCATATTGAATAATGACCTAACGCATGTTGTCTGCATGTATTTTAGTATTTACTTATTTTGGTTTTGGTATCTTAGCACACCCCGTAGTCGTAAGCCGTTTAGGTCTATCGAAATGTAGCTCGTACCTAGCAGCACCGTATATGAAGAACTGTAACGCACTGAATGCACAATATTGTAGTTAGTCCTTAGCTAATTTACACTTCTTATACGTCGTAACACACTCTTTGTCCCTTATCTTTACAAATTTAATAATCGTTTGCTTTGCATCACGTTACTCTTTATTTCCCATAGGAGCCGGTAAATATAATCCTAAAAGCGGAAGTTATAGGGGTAAGTTACAGAAATATTTGAATATGTTGGAGCTTTGCTTATTCACATCTTTTATTCAATGTAGGTGTTAATGAAGGAAAATACTATCATGATGATTCTGGTAAATATGTGCATGTTGAAGGACCCACTGGACCACCAGCTCCACCATATGTGCATATAGTTGGACCTGAGGGCGGCGTCGGCGGTAATGGAGGCAAAGGCGATGGCGGCGGATTCGGTCCCAATGGACCCGGCGGACCAAAGGGACCTGGCGGACCCGGCGGACCACGCGGACCAGGCGGTAAGCTGAAAGAATTCCTTAATTAATTCAATGAAACCTTATGGCAACTCAACTAATTAATTGCAGGCCCAAAGGGACCCCCCGGCCCACCCGGACCACCAGGTATGTTGAGCGTTTGATCTAACTTAAGATAATAAAAGCTTATTACACAACACTTTGGTGATTTGACTGTTGCGGGCTGTGGTATAAATGTAATGTAAATTCTTATAGGACCACCCGGACCTAATGGACCCGATCGTCCAGGACCTAAAGGACCTTTTGGTAAGCGCGAAGCAGTGGCATAACTTGGCTTGATTGTTTTTAATCTGATTGATTTTGTTAGGCCCACCAGGACCTCCCGGACCACCCGGTCCCACACGTCCAGGCCCACCCGGACCTCCCGGACCACCCGGACCTCAACGTCCAGGCCCACCAGGACCACCCGGTTTGTAGCTTCGGCATACCACTTGAAAATGGCTCATAAATAACTTATTTTACTTTCCCATTCAAAGGCCCACGTCCACCATACAAGCCAGATGATCCCAGATATTCAAACAAGGATCCTGAAACTTACCTGCCGCCAGTTAAGGGTAATGTCGTCCCCCAACCACCATCATCCTCACAAGTCACTCAGCCGAGCTTTAAGCCGCCAACTTTCAAACCAAATTACGAACCTAACGATAATTTTGTGATTAAGAAAGTGCCAACAACTAAACCACCACTAACCTATATTCCTCCTTCTTCCCCAACTACCGTTCCTATCCACGTTCCTGCGAATCCCACACCACGACCACCAACCAAAATAATTACCACGACTCAACCAAAGGCCCCGGCTATCACTATTAATACGGAAAGACCAGTAAAAGGCATTACAAAAGTACCAACGGGTAATATAATTACACCTAAGACACCCACACAAGCACCCACACGCAGACCAACACCAGCATCGACACCGACATCGACGCCCACACCATACAAACCAATACAGCCACAACCGCCACGCTTTGTCAACAATCCAAAGCCGGTGCCCGTGGTACCGATCGAACCAATACGACCAACGATCAGTGTGCCGACATATAACCCATCGACACCCAGGCCATTTGAGCCAGCACCGACAAACAGACCGACTGCCCGACCACCCATTTACATTGAACCGAAGCCGGTGAAACCGGTTTACGTTGACCGAACGCCAATTACCAACAAGAATGTAACTCCACGTCCCTCTCCCCCATTACATGTAACGTCGAAACCGCCAAGCAGCGAAACCTGCGTTTGTAATGCCGATAAGCCGCACTCTTCAATACCAACCTATACCTCCTCCACATCCTATCCCAACTCGAATCCGGCCTCGGTCGACTTTAACAAACAATTCACCGGCTTCAATGGAAACCCGAATTTCGGAAGCATAATGAACGCCATGTCACTAACCCAACTGCCCGTCGTGCCACAGGCACCTGGCCTGCCGGCCTTCTATCCACCCGACAAGATTCCTAAGGGTGCTGTGATCGCCTTCATGCCCGTGGTCATATTGCCAGCGGAGTACTACGCCAATTGTGATGACAATTCGATTCACACGCCAAACAAATATCAAACTGTTGATCCATTCCCACTGGGTGTCCAGCCAGCCAAGATACCGAACAGCTTCAGCGTGCACTCAATTTTCTCGGGCGCTGGGCCAAAGGATCAATGCATGTGCCCATGTTCCTGCACCCAGAATCTGGATAAATACCACAAGAAACGCGAGGCTAATCCAGCGGACGCGCCCGAGGTGACAGCGACTGTTGAGGAGAACGTCAAGCCAGTGGAACTTGTTGCTGAGGCTTCCACGCCTGTAGAAGTCAAAGCTGAGGCACCAGTTGCCGAGGCTTCCGCACCAGCTGAAACCAAGGTTGAGGCACCCGTTGCTGAGGCATCCACACCAGCTGAAGTGAAGGTTGAGGCACCCGTTGCTGAGGCATCTACGCCAACTGAAGTCAAAGCTGAGGCACCAGTAGCCGAGGCATCCACGCCTGTGGAAGTCAAGGCTGAGGCACCCGTTGCTGAAGTCTCCACGCCTGTAGAAGTCAAGGTTGAGGCACCCGTTGCTGAGGCATCCACGCCTGTGGAAGTCAAGGCTGACGCACCCGTTGCTGAGGCATCCACGCCTGTAGAAGTCAAGGTTGAGGCACCCGTTGCAGCTGAAACCAAGGTGGAGCCTGTGGCAGAGTCGACAACGAACTAGACACACTACAATTGACGTCTGAACGTCTCTGAAACTACCCTCAATTGATCCCAGTTCCCGCCTACCTCCCGTTCCCAGCACCGCCTGTAACCTCTGCACTTCTCCCGCAATCCGCAGTACCTCGACTAATCCCAATTGGCCAGTTAACCAGCGTAGTCTAAGTGTTTTTATTAACGAGATAATACTCTCAGCCAGTAAAGGTTCAACAAAAAAAAAAAAAAATGTAAGAAAAAACATAAAAAAGAACTAAAACACAAAAAAGAAAATAATAGGAAAAGAGAAGGAATCAAGTGCCCATTGAATGTGTTCATCTAACTTGCTTTAAAGAAAAAAGAAGAAATTAATTTTTTGCTCTTGTTGTAATCGAAATGCACTCTAAGCTTCCTGTCAACTATCAGCCGGGCCTAGACTCTTCCGGACTCGGCTAAATCTTTTTCTATTTGCTTAACGCTTTTGCATCTTGATATTTGGCAGTGGCGAAAATAGAAGGAAATCAGAAGAGAATTGTAAAAAAAAAAACGATGGAAATCCAGATATTGTTTGTGACATGTTGTTTATTCTGCATTTTTATATACATCTATGTATTAATTTGTATTTTGTTCGCCTTCTTTAGATTTTAGTTGATAGTTTATTTAATTTCTATTCTAATAATGCTTGAAACGGAGAAATGAATTGTTATGTCGAAAGTGAAATTATGAAATTAAATAAAATGTAAGAAAAATCAATGCCCATAGTTGTTTACTATTTTCCATTTCCCTTTTCCACGCCAGCGAAGCCAAGAAAATGTTATTCTTTTTGGTGCCGCCCGAAAGTATGCTATGAATAAATTAACCAACTGCAGCTGGCAGAAGCAGCAAAGCAACTGAGCAAAAACCCAGACAACTTTTTATACCTTGAACAGTTTGTAAATGGTAATTTGGGGCATAATGGGTTTTGTTAAACTGCAGCAGACAGAAGAGGGCGTGGCAGAATCCAAAAGATTTGTATATATATCATACATATATGAAGAGCTTCAATAGAGATGTCTGTGTCTTTGTTGGCTCCTTTATATGAGAGAAATTTGGCACACAGCTTAACTATAATTGAGGTCGATAACATTTAAAAGCCCAAGTCAATAAGGTTATTGTGCATGGATGTAAGCAATATATTCGGATCTGGAGGCGTAATTCGTTCAGGGTATCGTTCAGTTGAGCTTTCCCATTTAGTTGTTACACAGCTTCCAGCAGACGAACTGAAATTACAAAAATATATAATTAAGTCTCTTATTTTCGCAATTTAAATATATTTTTCTAACAATGACTGTATGATGAAAAGGAACTTTTGTGATGTGCTCTGACCTGACAGTCAGTCAGTCATTCACAAACAAAGTGCTTTGCTTACATTAAGGGGAAGTTGATTTAGTCGGAGCATTTTAATTTTGTGAAAATAATTCCAGGTATGCATGCTGAAAAGTATATTAAATATTTCTTTTCTGCCGAGGTGTCTTGTTATCCTTGAGCGCTGATTGTTATTCCAACTGGTTCTCGTTGAAGCTAAGTAAACGAATAACATTTTGTATGAATAATTTAAGGTAAGAACACAATTTGTGTTGTCTGTTTAGGCCAGAAGCAAAAATTACTTAATATTCAGCCTCAAATAGACATGAACTTGATTTAAGGCAAACAAATGCTGCTCTACATTAAAGAACTTTGCACATAATTTAGCTGGAAGCTCTTGAGTGCGTAAAGTGAAAGTCGACACAGTTCATGAATCACTCTCAGTCCATAACTCATCAGCTCTTGCATAATAAGTGCAAAGCTAAAAGGTTCAATTGATAACATTGCCTTAGGGTTCACCTTGAATTGCGTGCTGCGACGCGCTGTAACCCAGTTTTTGTTTAGTTTTACGACTTTGACAAGTCAATATTGAGAAGTTGTAATTCCCGCATCGCCCAAGCCCAAATGCTGTTCACACCGTTTCGTTGGTGCTAAAAGAGATATGCACATCGAGGTTATATATACTGCGAGCTATGTATGTGAGCTGAAGTGGATGTAAAGTGCTTTACAAGAACTTTATAGATGGCACAACAGCTGCAGGCGGACAAAGAGCTAGTTTGAACAGCTGAAGTCAAGCATCCCGTCGATTATAGTAGTCTTCCTACGAATGCTAAAATTGGCCAATTAGCAGTCACACCTAAACGTTTCATGAATGAATTTGGAGTGCATGAACCCAAAGGTGCTTTTTCTCTATTGTCTTTGCTGCGGCAAGTCGAGCAAAGGGAAGCAGCCAAAGCCGTGGCTCCATACCAGAATAGCTTGCAAATATTTGCAGAAGCGCCACAAGTTTTTGGCCCCTGCCGCAGATTTGTCCCTGTGTGTGTGTGTGTGTGGGTAGATAATTGGAATTAAAGATATAGCAAGCAAACAATTTTTCTGTCTATAGTTCTCACAAAAAAATATATATATATATATATATATATATTCATATATGTATATGCCCGTCGGCTCACATGAAAGAAAGCGATCTGTGAACGCAGCCTAAACAAAACAATTTCCAGTTTACGTTTGTTTATGTTTGCCAAAGCTTAAAGCGCAAATATCTTAAATTAAACTCACGCACTGCCAACAAAGAAGCGACAAGCCACAAGAGACAGCCAAAATGAGGCATTTATTTTGTCACCTGCCCCATACAAATATTAATAATAGTGCATAATCAGCCAGCCGAAAGGTCGTTCGTATTATATAATTTGAGGCAAAGCCTAGAATACTCAAGAATAGGATTTACCACTCGAAATTATATTTCGTGTAACAAAACCAATTAAATAATCAAATTTTCTGTAATTGATTTTTAAATGAAAATAATTTAACATAACATTACATTAATTTGGATCTGTAAAGCCCTGCCAGGCCCAGCCCTGAATACGTAAGTGCGCCGGCTTACGTGTCGTATGAGTAATAAGAGTAACGTAGCCGCCTCGTTTTAGCTGGCCTGCGAAGTGCGACTTGACGCTGGGCCAAGCTTATTTTATTATTGTTTCGGTTTGTTTGTTTCGGCAACGTCGACGTAGACGTAGACGTCTGCGTCTCCGTCGACTTGAGCGCAGCAACTCAGCTGGAAAATGAAAAATATAAATTGGCCCCGCAGTCTGGGAAACAGAATTATTTAAAGTACAAGCGTTGCTTCAGCCAGTTGTCTCTGCGCCATTCTCTCTGCACATTTGCAATTCATATAGCAAAGCCAGCTAAAATCAGCTAACATCATGTATGCCAAGTGCTGCTTACCACTTTTGGTAGGTATTCGGAGGGCATGGCAAAAGGAGTTTAGCTAATCCTAAAAGTGTGTGTAATCAATTTGAATGTAGCTGCTGCTTCTCTGCGGTGCGATTGCCAGGAGTGAGCCGGTGCCGGCGACAAAGGATGCCAAAGCGAACGATTTAGCGACTGCCGAAACTTCAGCCAAGTGTAAGAAGCGTCTGACGCGGAAACATAACGATTGCTCAATTATAAAAATTTCCACTGCGCCCTTAAGTGCTGAACTTGGGCGGTTTATTTGGACAGCCTGTGGCAGAGTCGACAACGAACTAGACACACTACAATTGACGTCTGAACGTCTCTGAAACTACCCTCAATTGATCCCAGTTCCCGCCTACCTCCCGTTCCCAGCACCGCCTGTAACCTCTGCACTTCTCCCGCAATCCGCAGTACCTCGACTAATCCCAATTGGCCAGTTAACCAGCGTAGTCTAAGTGTTTTTATTAACGAGATAATACTCTCAGCCAGTAAAGGTTCAACAAAAAAAAAAAAAAATGTAAGAAAAAACATAAAAAAGAACTAAAACACAAAAAAGAAAATAATAGGAAAAGAGAAGGAATCAAGTGCCCATTGAATGTGTTCATCTAACTTGCTTTAAAGAAAAAAGAAGAAATTAATTTTTTGCTCTTGTTGTAATCGAAATGCACTCTAAGCTTCCTGTCAACTATCAGCCGGGCCTAGACTCTTCCGGACTCGGCTAAATCTTTTTCTATTTGCTTAACGCTTTTGCATCTTGATATTTGGCAGTGGCGAAAATAGAAGGAAATCAGAAGAGAATTGTAAAAAAAAAAACGATGGAAATCCAGATATTGTTTGTGACATGTTGTTTATTCTGCATTTTTATATACATCTATGTATTAATTTGTATTTTGTTCGCCTTCTTTAGATTTTAGTTGATAGTTTATTTAATTTCTATTCTAATAATGCTTGAAACGGAGAAATGAATTGTTATGTCGAAAGTGAAATTATGAAATTAAATAAAATGTAAGAAAAATCAATGCCCATAGTTGTTTACTATTTTCCATTTCCCTTTTCCACGCCAGCGAAGCCAAGAAAATGTTATTCTTTTTGGTGCCGCCCGAAAGTATGCTATGAATAAATTAACCAACTGCAGCTGGCAGAAGCAGCAAAGCAACTGAGCAAAAACCCAGACAACTTTTTATACCTTGAACAGTTTGTAAATGGTAATTTGGGGCATAATGGGTTTTGTTAAACTGCAGCAGACAGAAGAGGGCGTGGCAGAATCCAAAAGATTTGTATATATATCATACATATATGAAGAGCTTCAATAGAGATGTCTGTGTCTTTGTTGGCTCCTTTATATGAGAGAAATTTGGCACACAGCTTAACTATAATTGAGGTCGATAACATTTAAAAGCCCAAGTCAATAAGGTTATTGTGCATGGATGTAAGCAATATATTCGGATCTGGAGGCGTAATTCGTTCAGGGTATCGTTCAGTTGAGCTTTCCCATTTAGTTGTTACACAGCTTCCAGCAGACGAACTGAAATTACAAAAATATATAATTAAGTCTCTTATTTTCGCAATTTAAATATATTTTTCTAACAATGACTGTATGATGAAAAGGAACTTTTGTGATGTGCTCTGACCTGACAGTCAGTCAGTCATTCACAAACAAAGTGCTTTGCTTACATTAAGGGGAAGTTGATTTAGTCGGAGCATTTTAATTTTGTGAAAATAATTCCAGGTATGCATGCTGAAAAGTATATTAAATATTTCTTTTCTGCCGAGGTGTCTTGTTATCCTTGAGCGCTGATTGTTATTCCAACTGGTTCTCGTTGAAGCTAAGTAAACGAATAACATTTTGTATGAATAATTTAAGGTAAGAACACAATTTGTGTTGTCTGTTTAGGCCAGAAGCAAAAATTACTTAATATTCAGCCTCAAATAGACATGAACTTGATTTAAGGCAAACAAATGCTGCTCTACATTAAAGAACTTTGCACATAATTTAGCTGGAAGCTCTTGAGTGCGTAAAGTGAAAGTCGACACAGTTCATGAATCACTCTCAGTCCATAACTCATCAGCTCTTGCATAATAAGTGCAAAGCTAAAAGGTTCAATTGATAACATTGCCTTAGGGTTCACCTTGAATTGCGTGCTGCGACGCGCTGTAACCCAGTTTTTGTTTAGTTTTACGACTTTGACAAGTCAATATTGAGAAGTTGTAATTCCCGCATCGCCCAAGCCCAAATGCTGTTCACACCGTTTCGTTGGTGCTAAAAGAGATATGCACATCGAGGTTATATATACTGCGAGCTATGTATGTGAGCTGAAGTGGATGTAAAGTGCTTTACAAGAACTTTATAGATGGCACAACAGCTGCAGGCGGACAAAGAGCTAGTTTGAACAGCTGAAGTCAAGCATCCCGTCGATTATAGTAGTCTTCCTACGAATGCTAAAATTGGCCAATTAGCAGTCACACCTAAACGTTTCATGAATGAATTTGGAGTGCATGAACCCAAAGGTGCTTTTTCTCTATTGTCTTTGCTGCGGCAAGTCGAGCAAAGGGAAGCAGCCAAAGCCGTGGCTCCATACCAGAATAGCTTGCAAATATTTGCAGAAGCGCCACAAGTTTTTGGCCCCTGCCGCAGATTTGTCCCTGTGTGTGTGTGTGTGTGGGTAGATAATTGGAATTAAAGATATAGCAAGCAAACAATTTTTCTGTCTATAGTTCTCACAAAAAAATATATATATATATATATATATATATTCATATATGTATATGCCCGTCGGCTCACATGAAAGAAAGCGATCTGTGAACGCAGCCTAAACAAAACAATTTCCAGTTTACGTTTGTTTATGTTTGCCAAAGCTTAAAGCGCAAATATCTTAAATTAAACTCACGCACTGCCAACAAAGAAGCGACAAGCCACAAGAGACAGCCAAAATGAGGCATTTATTTTGTCACCTGCCCCATACAAATATTAATAATAGTGCATAATCAGCCAGCCGAAAGGTCGTTCGTATTATATAATTTGAGGCAAAGCCTAGAATACTCAAGAATAGGATTTACCACTCGAAATTATATTTCGTGTAACAAAACCAATTAAATAATCAAATTTTCTGTAATTGATTTTTAAATGAAAATAATTTAACATAACATTACATTAATTTGGATCTGTAAAGCCCTGCCAGGCCCAGCCCTGAATACGTAAGTGCGCCGGCTTACGTGTCGTATGAGTAATAAGAGTAACGTAGCCGCCTCGTTTTAGCTGGCCTGCGAAGTGCGACTTGACGCTGGGCCAAGCTTATTTTATTATTGTTTCGGTTTGTTTGTTTCGGCAACGTCGACGTAGACGTAGACGTCTGCGTCTCCGTCGACTTGAGCGCAGCAACTCAGCTGGAAAATGAAAAATATAAATTGGCCCCGCAGTCTGGGAAACAGAATTATTTAAAGTACAAGCGTTGCTTCAGCCAGTTGTCTCTGCGCCATTCTCTCTGCACATTTGCAATTCATATAGCAAAGCCAGCTAAAATCAGCTAACATCATGTATGCCAAGTGCTGCTTACCACTTTTGGTAGGTATTCGGAGGGCATGGCAAAAGGAGTTTAGCTAATCCTAAAAGTGTGTGTAATCAATTTGAATGTAGCTGCTGCTTCTCTGCGGTGCGATTGCCAGGAGTGAGCCGGTGCCGGCGACAAAGGATGCCAAAGCGAACGATTTAGCGACTGCCGAAACTTCAGCCAAGTGTAAGAAGCGTCTGACGCGGAAACATAACGATTGCTCAATTATAAAAATTTCCACTGCGCCCTTAAGTGCTGAACTTGGGCGGTTTATTTGGACAGGGCTCTGGCTATCCCAACTATGGCTATAATTATCCCAATTATGGCTACAGCACGGGCTACTACAATAGACCCAACACCGGCTATTATCCCAGCTCCGGCGCTGGCTACTATCCAAGCAGCACCTACAACGGCGCCGGCTTCTACCCCAGCACGGGCGGCGGCTATTATCCCAGCAGCGGCTACTACCCGACCACAAATATATTGGGCACTTCGGGATACGGCGGTTACGGTGGATATGGAGGTAATGGCGGCTTAAGACAATATTCGGGCTATTGGCAGCCGGAGTATAGTGGCCAGCGGTATCGTGGCTATGGCTACTATCGCAACACAGATCGCTATGGTCTGCCGATAGCCAGGGAGCGTGATTACTATCGTGATCGCGGCAGCTATGGCAGCTATGGAGGCTATCGTGGCTATGACTAATGCTTAATGTTGTTGTCGTTGTCGTTGCCTTTGTCTTTGTTTTTATTTTGTTTTTTTTTTTATTTCGCTGCTTTGTATATAACGCCTTTGTTATTCATCATGCTAATCAAACTAGCAATAAAACTTTAATGCCTACTAATCTCATTTAAGCAGCATTTTAATCATCTATCTGACAAGTCTCGTTTCAGCTGCAACAGACACACAATTATGATAATATAGATTGGTAATTGCGGCTGGGCTACGCCCAATTGCACGCTGAAATTTGTCATTCACTGGGTGTCATATGAGAGTCCAAGCGGCATATAATTATGTGTGTGTGTGTGTGTGTGTGTGTTTGTGTGCAGCTGAGCTTAATGTGTGGTAATTGTTGTCTTAATCATCTTGTCTTGCCCTGTCATTGCGCATGCAAAGCACAGAATTTCAGCTAAAGCCTAAAAGTATGCTACGTCCGCTGTCAGCTTTAATAGCTAGCGCCCGCGTTGCCAACTTTTGTTAAAAAATCCATTTGCTTTTGCTTTCTCTCTCGTTCCAATTCACAGGCTTGGTGCGCACCACATACGGCTAGCAGTGCGACAGAGACAGAGACAGAAACAGCGAAGAACCAAGCAGCAGCTGTTATGCTTCAGCAAACACCACAGCGCCACCAACTCCAACAACAACAACAACATCAACAGTAGCAACAACAACATGCAGCAGCATATAGTATAATAGTAATAGCATTATTTTCGCAACGTTAGCTCGTAAAGTTTAGCATGCACTTTATTGCAATGCAGCCCGCATTAACTTACAAAACAACCCTCGTATCTGACAGACGCATTATCACAGCGAAAAATTAAATAAAATGCAAAGAAAAAAAATGAAGACAAAGCAAACACTGTGGCAGCTGCAGCTACTTTTAATGCTTGCGTCTCGGCTTAAAGTAAACTTTTGTTTATATTTTGATTCTTTTGTTTTGCAAGCGACACATGAAGGGCGCGCTAGCAAACAACATCGGAGCAATATGCAACGAAGCGTGTTCTCACTCTCTTCGGACTGCGCCGTCTTAGTTGGCTCACACGCTGGGTGTTGACACAGCCGAAAGTTTCTTGTTGATAAGCAGAAATCCATTTTTCCCTGCTAAGCAAAGCTCAATAAAGTGAGGAAAATATATGCAAGCATTCATATGAAATGGCTCTTTAATGCATGAGCTTAGCTAGATTTCAGAGCCACGAGAGAGAAGCTCTGCTATTCCGCATAACTACATTATGGCAATTGTTTAGCTTGAAGCCAGCGATACGGAATATTCAGTTATTTTATACAAATGGCAAAATATGTAGTTTGAATTTAACATCAAAAGCGATTTAATGTCTGAACATATTTGATTTTATTACCATATCATTATCTATTGCTCCTATTTGGTCTGCTTACAGCTCAAAGATATACATATATTTATGCATATCGATTTTTCGTTTACACACATCGACTTTTCTATAGCCTTCATATACTATAAATTGCCAATTTTTGTATACAAAAAATCGTATTAAAATTCCATTTGCAAAAACTTTCCGAAATTTCTAACAGCTCGTCTAAATAACATCAAATCATTCAAAAAATTATCGCAGCATTAAACACAAGCAAAGTCAATATAGAATATACAATATACAATAATTACGGCTTCGTATGACAGCACGAATTCCGATCGAGAAAATATTCCACAGTTGAGTTCTTGAATCTACTGTGTGCGCCTCGTTCCATTCATGGGGCGCTGCGCTTCCTTCCGTGGCGCTCATAAAAAACGTAATGTGCCAAAGCCAAACACAAGAAGAAGACGAAGAGAGGAAAAAAACCCATGCGATTGTTTAAAACATTTATGTGGCCATAAAAAGAGCCAAAATCACACACTAAAATTATGATCAAATGGAACTAAGCAAAATGCTGTCGGTGCTACGCTCTTTTATTATTTTTGTTGTTTGTTGTTTGTTGTTGTTAATGAAAATGTGTTTTTCATATATGTATGTATATATTTCTTGGGCTGGAGCATTCAAGGCAAATAAAAATAATTAAAGCATTGACAGTGCGCTGAGCGCGTGCTCTGTGGCGCGCGTAAAGTAAATAAAATGATAAAGAATTGGAATTATTTATTTGGCTAGCGGCATTAACACCGCAACGCAACGCAACGGAACGCAACGCATCCAAATCTAATGTTAACAACATTTTAATTAAAGTGCAATGCATATTCGGGATTAATAATCTATTAGCTCAGCGCCAACAGCAGCAAATATTTGCCTGACACACATACATACATATATAAATAAATAGATATTTTTAGTGCTGCCCTCGTAAACGTAAGCCAGGCCACGTCGGAAATGCAATTGCACTGATTAGCTCAATTATGCCAAGCACCAACGAAACTGCTCAACATAAAGAACTCGAAACTTTTTCGCTTAAATCTTGACAGAACTTTAATGCTAGCTGCTCAGTTTTCGGTTAGCCACGGGAATTGCTCGGCCAAAAGTTTCAACTGCAGCCGAATGTCTTCAACTTTTTGCAACATTTCATAAATCTCACGGCTGTCTGTTGAGGCACTTGAACCAAAATGAAAATGTCTTGTCCAAGCTTTTTGTGGGTTTCCCTGTTTTGAATTTCACACATTCGTCTATTGAGCTGGGCTCTTGAAAAAGATTGCGTTTATTATGATAGCTGAGGCACAGAGGGAGAAAAAATGATAGAAAATATATTTATTTATGGTTGTTGCTTTGTCAGCCAGCAAACAAATTCAAATTTCATTGGAAATTAAATTGTTTGTGACCTTCTCGGTTATAAGATTATGCAAGATATTTGCCCATGAAACTTTGAAGTTGAGTCCGACCCTTATCACAAATAAAAACTAAATTCTTTCTGTGCCCGGAACATATTTTAAAGGTCGCAGGCAAACAATATGCAACAAGCAGCAGTTAGCCACAGAGAGTTCCGAGTAAGGTATATATATATATATATATAGATACCTTGCAGGAATCCATGATATGCAGGCAAACCTTAAACGAATTTTAAACAATTTCTGCATAAATTTTAATTATGTTTTCAGTTCATAGATAACACGAGTATTATTTATATGGTAAGAGCATATACACTTCTGACATGTAAGAAAACTTGAATTCCTTGTAAAATATATTCATAAATATATCTATATATAGATATTTGCCTTGAGGCTTCCCAAGTCTAGCCTGCCCCACTCGCCTTCTTCCTTTCGCATTTGAAAGCTCGTCTAGTCTGACCTGCCCAACTCACACTTCTAGTGGAAATATTTTCATTTAAAGCAGTAAACGCAGTCAAATGGCGTGAATTATTTGGCCTATTACACATGCTGATTGCTGACAGATGTCTGTCTAAAATATTGCTTGACTTGCTAATTGTGTGAATTTAGACAGAAGTTGGACAGTTTAATGACAACTGAAGTTTATTAATTTCTGCCAGAAAATATTTTTAAATATGTGTTGAAAGGAGATTGCTGAAGCTGGCAGCAAAGAGACTTTCGACGGTCTTCAGTGAACTCAAAGCTCAAGTTCTTTTGAGGTGCTTCTCGTCACCTGTTGAATGGCCATAGAGAATAGAAAATGCCTGAAACACTCAAGTGGCCATAGAGAGCATACGACAAGCTGCCAGTCGAGTACTTTTCTCGCATTAGTTGTTCACACATTTGTTCTGACGGCAGACTTGAATTAATTTGTTTTATTTTTCTATCAAATATGATATTTAATTGGCCTAACTCGCTTTTGTCTGTCGTGGATGTCGCCTGGCTGTGCGTATTTTCGTTCGAATGGCATGCGAACTTCATTAACACCTGCGCGAGCTGGGCGTGATAGAGTTGTCTCCATATCCATATCCATGTGTTAGTCACATACATACATATATGTAAGTGCCACGTGCTTTAGCTTCTTTGTGCAAATCATTTAAAATAGGTGCAAATGCGGCTGGAGCTGTGGCCATTTCGCAAAATCCAACTAATACCTGTCATATAACAAAGGCAGACACAATAATCCTCTTCAAAGCAGACGAATGCACTGTAAGGCACACACTCACACACACACTCACACGCATACAAATACCCGTTCAGCAATTCACCATGGCAACAGCTAATCACATTTGCATCAAGTTAACATGCGCTATCAATAGCACGTGCTCTCGAAGACCCTAACAACAGACTATGAATGGCAACAATCATTATCATATTTATGAATCTTTTTATTGTTTTGACTTAGCAGGAATTGAATCAACTGCCAGCTGCACTCAAGCAGAATTTATGGATAACTGCATTCAAATTTAATGCGTTTAGTGAGCAACGGACGTTAATGAGGCAAACAAAGCCGCAGCCAAAAAAATCTCTTCACCGGCGAAAAAGAATCGATAAGCCAGAAGCTATTAAACTGCAGTAAAATAAAGAAAATAAACAATAATAATAAGAATGCTTAAAATGCGAAATCTTAAAGTGTTTTTCTTATTAAATTTTCAGATTGAGATCGAAATCGAAATTGTCTTACAAGCGTGGCGATATTTAGTGGCTCATACTTAAAGTTGATAAACAACAGAATCGAAATCAATTTAAGCAATTAGCACCTTGAGCAACAGGTATTTGCCTATCGAAAGACTCTTTAAGCTCCAGACAAAATCTAGCGAAATTTATCTTGAATGTGCGAAACGCTCAACGCTGAACGCTTGAGTGCGTAAATTTTATGGACAACATTTTACCTTAATTAGTTTGTATTTAATTCAATTGACAGGTAAATATTAAACGATTTATGGCCATCGCTGTTCGTCTTCTGAATTTAGGCGTATTTGTGTAACTCTTTAGGGTGCCCAAATGAGGCGTGACGCCATCAAAATGATGGAATTTAGATACGGCTTTAATCAACAGCTGATCACAATTCATTTAATAAATTTGCGTCGACGGCTTCATTGCAAGCATTAAAAAGGCCATCAATATAAATGATATCAGACATGAAAGTGAGTGAGGCTGTCAATTGAAACACTTATTGATTGCCGACAAAACAAATTAATAATCGAATGATTGGAATACCCTGGAGAGGGTTAAACGAATAGAGATGCGTAAGAAAGAGAGAGATAGGGAGAGAGAGAGAGGGAAGCAATTGAAAGTATTTTATGGAATTTCTGTAAATTGTATTCTATAGTTTAATGAGAGAGGCAGACAGGGCGGGGGTGAGAGGTAGAATGAGAGAGTGAGCAGTACTAAAATTTATATGGTATTAAAGTCTATATAATGTTAAAGAGCGCATACTTATACTAAGTTTTCATATAGGGTATTTCGCAGTGAATCAAATGAGTCTTAGCTTCTACATATTCACATGAACTACCTTAACAATATTCAACTGAGCATATATTTATATACTATAGCTAAATTTTGAGGTCGCATTGGCTGCCTCTAATTATTCTAGATAACCTTAAAGAAACCCCCGACAACAATATTAGCTGAAGATATGAGTTTATCGAGAGCTATAGCATATATTCTGTCCCCTAACCTTGCCGCGGAGCCTTAACTGCCTGAATGGCATTCTTCTACCTGTCCCTTGCATCGCAGTTAGTCCATTACACCCCATGCAATTATTTCACCCCCGCTATGGGCATAAGAAGTTGGCTGGTTGGTTTTTCTAAAACCTCTTAGCATGTGAGTGTTGACCCATTTTTTATCAGTGTATAAACACATAGATGTGGTTCGCTCATTTAATTACCCAACATAAAGATAAATGAATGTTTACTTGATATTCTTTCGCGCAGATAACATTGAAATCTTTGCTCGATTGACCGGGCAACAGTCTAATTAAAATAAAATATTCCATGCACGGCACAAGCTAATTCTCGA